TAGTGATGGACTGGATGAGAGCCAATAAACTAAGACTCCACCAGCCAAGACTGCTAGTAGGTGGTTCAATTTGGATGAACAATATCCAACCTGTTCTGCACTCCTCCTAAAGGATTTGATTCAGAGTTTGCAAGTGCTTTTGGTATCCAGCATTGTCACTAGAAGTTATAGGTGGGCTCAGTGGCATCAGGTTAGGCTGATATTTCAACTACGTCTTGGCAGGGTAACCTAGCTACTATTATCCATGCCTGGTAACTTCTCATGGTAATATGAACTGAATTATGGTAATATGTTATACATATGTAGGTTGGTTTTGAATATGGTCCAGAAACTTCATCTACAGCATAATAAGGCAGCAAGACTGCTAAGGGTGCCTGTCCAACTTCATGCTATTAGTCTAGTAGTCAACAGGTGCACTGGCTTCCAGTCAGTGTCTGGCTTGATTCAGAGTGCTGATATTACCATTCAAAGTTTCCAAATGGCTCGGGACCAGGTTACCTGAAGAATCATCTCCTCCCATATCTATATACTTGCATGGGCCCAAAGGTTGTCCTCAGCAGTTTAGAAGCTGGATAGCTACTAAAGAGGGGGCATTTTCTACTGTGGCACCCTGTTTGTGGAATTAACATTGCAGAGGGGCTCTCTAGGCACCCACACCTCAGCAACAGGTTAACATCTTCCTTTTTTTCTAGGAATTTTAGCTTTTTAGTCTCTGTTATTTTAGAATCTTTACAATGTGTAAAATCTTCACACTGATGCTAGGTTAACAATAAATGAGAATAAATAAATAAGTGCAATTAATAAACTAACAAATAGATTTCTCTACTGAATGGCTGGGAAAATTGAGGCAGCCCATAGACCAATTTTCCATTACTTCCACCACCCTCACTCAGTGGTGGGCTTTCCTCTGCCTCCCATCGGTGGCTTAAGTACTACAGGGCTTACTGAAGACAAAATGAGCTAGTTTTCAGGATAAAGTTGTACTCAGTAAGCCTCTGTAGCAAGTTGCTACTTAATTTCAGCAGCAAACTATTTAAAAATGACTTTGGGGGCAACAGGAAACATCAGGGACTGCTTTCCCCTGACCCTACTCTACAGCAACAATAGATGATGTCAGCAAGGGATTGAGGAGCACAAAGAGTCAGGGTACTCATTCTTACTCTTTGCTCTCTGCATCTTTTTCCTTTACTGATCTTGTCTGTTGCTATTTGGTTTTATTTAAGAACAAAATGAAATGTCCACATGAATCAATAGTGCTGACCCACAAGGCCTCTTGCAAACATGTCAAGCATGTGCCAAAGAAGTGTGAAAGTGATAAGAAGGTGCAGAAAACTTTGGGTAGTATATTAGTCAAATTATCTACTAATTTGTCAAAAGTAGAAAGGGGAAATCTAGAAAAAAAGAAAGGCTTTTTGTGGAAAGGAAATGAGTAACAGATAATTTTTGTTCTGGGAAGCAGCCTCAAAAGCATGAGTGTTCCTTTTAGATAGCCAAGAAAAATGGCCACCATTGCCCACCTGGAACAAAAAAGAGAGGATTTAAAGAATTTTGGCAAATTATTTTGGCAGATGGAGCAGGTTTCCTCTAATAGGATCATCTCTGGCCCACAATCTAGGACATTTGATTTGATTTCATTTACCTTTAAAATTAAACACTGTTATGATGGAGAGGGGAGGCAACTCTGGTCTTTCAAAAGGGAAGGAAAACATGTAGGAGGCTAAAGTGGCATAGAACTAAAACTAATACTAGACATGCATAAGTTTGGATTTTCCTGGGCTTTAGGCAATTCGGATCTTCTGAAGTAGTTTAGGCTGAAAGTCAATGTTGTGCAGTGGTCAGAGTGCTGGACTTTGGAAATCTGGGTTCTAGTCCCCAACTGGCCATAATATTCAGTGGGTGACTTTAAGTCAGTCAGTGTCTCTCGGCCTAACCTACTTCACAGGGCTGTTGAGAGGATAAAATGACGAGGAAGAAGAGAAGGAGAAGGATATCACCAACTTGGGCTTTTTGAAGGAAAAAAAGTCAGGTCTCAATATAAGTTCAACAACAGTTGAATTATTAACCATGCTTTTGGTGAAAGAAATCATTTCCTTTCCTTTCACTTTTTTGCATCATGCCAGCTGTGGAATCATCTCTCTCATTTCACTTTCTGATATCATGAAAGCCCCTGTGCATTAGTGTTGAGGACCTTCTCAGGTGCTCATCTGAACACACATCAGGGCATTGCAACAGAGGCAGTCCCACTGCCCACCCTGTATGTTCAGTAGAACCACCACAAAGAGCCTTTCTGCCTGCCATATTTTGTGATGTTCACTGTGCCCCTATTTCCTTTCTGCATTTTCTTGATATAATCGGGGTGTGTTTCTGCTTTGAGATTAGACTAGACCACCTTTAAGCAAAGCCCACACAATATGTTTCTCTATGGAGAATTTATGGGAAATAATAAACAATACTTTCAAAACTAATGTTCCACCCCACTCATGCTTTCAAATGGATATGTCTTAAGCAGCACCTCTGTACTCAAACTAAACCAAATTGAATGGGACTTACTCATAAGAACAGTGAAGCTGGATCAGACCAAAGGTCTATCTGCTGCAGGCCATGGCCAGTCTTTTCCCTTCCTGGACATCTTAACCTTAAAACAATTCACTGTTCACTTCTTTGTGTCTTTTCAGGGTTACTTCCGAGAAAAGTTACAGGAAAATACAAAGCAAAGTGAGAAATATCCCTGTAAGCAAGTGATCTACTACAAACTGAAATCTCCACATTTTGTTTTGTAAAAGCAATTCAACCTAGGGAACTGCCTTTGTAGACCATGGACTTGAGAGGTTTTCTTACACTTCTACTATGCCCCCTAATGGAAGAAAGGTAGAAAGCTGAAGAGATGTTGCCTTTACTTTTAACATACTAGCATGTTTACAGAGAAGGTCTTCATTCCCTATTTCGGTCTTACATTTAAGGAGTCTCTGAAAAAGATGGTTCCTGTGAAATGACCATCTGAAAAAATCTGTCATTATGAAATAATTCACTAGCGCTTGTGTGAGCATTCTTTGTTTCTAACTATGAAGTTCACTGACTTTTGCATAGGTGCTACTTACTTCATAATGCCATATAAAATACTGTTATAAATCGACTGGTAGTCTTTATTAAAAGATTATGAAAGCTGCAATCTTAGACACACATACCTAGCAGTCAGTCCTGTTAAACTCAATGAACTTGATTCCAAATAGACATACACTGGGATTTCACAACATTCTTTTGTATCTTTCTTTAAATCTGACAATTTAAATGGCACAACCAGCAGTGTGGCTTCCCATTTAGAGGAGGTCTTGGGCGAGGCCTTTGAAGAAATGCACCATATTGTATTTGTATATTATTGCACACTTTCTGGGGCTGAACCACAGATCCTGTTCTGAATGGTATAGCTCCATATTAACCCCCATGGCAAGGGAATGAATATGTTAATACATCTGAGAATGAGCAGACAGCATTTCTTGTACCAGCTACTAGATAAAGAGGGCAGGACTTAGTACCAAAAAGTTCCAGGATTCAGGCCCACAGGAGAAAAAATAAATACAAAAATTAAAAAGCACAAATATACCTGTGCTAATTATGATATGTTCTGTGTGTGTGTGTTTGTAAAAAGGGATCTATGGACATGGAAAAGGAAGACATTAGTTTTGGAGGTCAAGGAGAACCCATAGGCAGAAAGATTTGGGTGGGGGGGCAGCAGAAAGGGAAACCTTGGTGGACAAAACATCAGTCAGATGGAACAGCAGTTTTTGGGATCCCTAGACCTTTATTTCAGCAAGTGCACATGGACAGCAAAATGATGGGACAGATGGTCTCCCAGAGATTCAGGTCTCCAAAAGAAAGATCCAGGGATTCAGCCCCAGTGGGCTACCACCACTGACAATAGCACTTTGTTTTCTTACCGGCCAGTTAAACCAGGTAGCTCGTGCACGTCTAGGGTTTGGAGATGGGGCTTCTGAGTGATACTTGAGTTCTAGTGTGCATCTCAATCTCTTTAAGCACCATTCTCCATTTTAAAATGGGTTTCTTTCCGAATCTAGGCACTGTGACTGTTCCAGCTGATTTTAATGATCGCTCACTGGAGTTCAGCCCTTAAATTTACAAAGTAACAAAAGTAATGGCTTTCTGAGTATGTGTTGAGCACACGTATCATTGCTACTGTATTAACAAAGCTATGTAGGGGAGGCACTGAGGCAGACTTGGGCCCTGACAATTCTCCAATGAGATGTAGACCATTGCAGTGGGAAGGTGAATGCCCTTCTTAGAGTCAGGGAGACCCCCGTTCAGATTCTTGTTCAGCAATGAATCTCAGTGGATGACTTTGAGGCAGCCAAAGTCTGAGCCTTGCCAGCTTCACAGATGGGGCTGCTGCATACGAGGTCGCTTTGAAGGAAGAAGTGCAAAAAAGTGATGACAAAATCTTCCGGATTAAATTTTATAAACTGGAAAGCAAAGGCAAAGACGTCTTTCTCAGGTCCGCACGTGCCTCGTGCTTAGAACTGGGGCGCCAGGCTAATACTTTTTCTGCTCCATCGCCCTCTTTCTACTGCCCCCACCGCCTCCCGCGCTTCTCTTTGCGTCAGGAACGGGGAAGCAGTGCAGCGCAATTAGTGAATCGCGTCAATTTCGCTCGGAAGACAGGGTGGGGTGGGGGGAGGCAGAGGAGGGACGCGCCGCCGGGTGGGAAGGCGGGCGTTTCATTAGGAGACAGCGGCTGCGGTGTGTTTGTGACATCAGCCCCCCATTTCCTTATATACTTCGGATATAGCCCAGAGTTCCCTTTATGGTCCAGATCTTCGGAAATCCGCGCTTTGCCCTCTCTCGCTGCACCGCCGTGTCCGTCTCTTCCGTGGGAGCGTGTGCGCGTCTCTTACTCGGGCTCTCCGCTCCATCCCCGCGCCAAGCGAAACTCACCCGCGCCTCCTGTCCTTTGTATGGACTGTACTTTCTAGAGGGACGGAGAGAGGATGGCGAGCCTGGTGAGGATGCAGCTGCTGTGCGCGATGCTGCTGGCCTGCGCCTCGTGGACGCTGTGCACAGGTAAGCCCCGCTCGGCGGTCCTGCGCTGCGCTCGTGTTGGGCGAACGAGGCGCAGCGGCGCCCTCGGGCTGCCTGCCCGAGGAGGAGGTCGCTGCGGCTGGGCGCCTTGCGCTCGGCGGCCAGGCGGCCGGCGTGGGAGGAGCTGGAGGGGCGGGAGACCCGCCAGGTCAGCTTCAGCTCCCTTTGCACGCTCCGGAGTGCCGCTTCTCCCGCAGCTTTGCGGAGGGTTCAGAAGCAGAGCTGGCCGCTGCTGCTTCAGGCACAAGATGCTCTTTAGCTCACGAGTGTCGAGAAGCTCTCCCTCTCTTTTCTTTTCTGTTCTAAAGACCTTTTTCCTTCCCCCTTACCAGCCTCGCTTCATCAGTCTTTGAACGACAGATCCACTGTAGCGTCGCTTTATAGGATCGGGCAAACAGAAGGAGCACGCAGGAAGGCTCACCACCGCTAGAACAGATCTCACCAAGCTGTTCTCCCCGCCCGCCCCCTCAGAAATTTTGCATTGCAATTCTCAGCATTCCTGGGGATGCTAGCTGGGATTGATAGGAGTTGTAGTAAAAAACATCTGTTGGGCTGGGATGCTGGACTGGGGTAAATCATCAGTTCCAATTCCATAAACGTGCGCACTGGCAGGGCATGTCCAGATGGAAGGTTCCTAGTGCAACCAAACTCCACATGCACAGAAAGGTTTTTTTGTTTTCTTGTTTTTGTTTTTGTTTTTTTGAGGTCCAGTAATCAGAGCCAAATAGTAGGGGCAAGTGGATAATGGCATCGAATACTGCATCCCCACAGAGTGTAGGTTGTGTATATAAAAAAGAAAGCACATCTGAGTTACTATACATCAAGGATTGTAACACAACTATCAGGTGGCTGGTAGATCTGGTACAGGTGATGAACAGGGGCAATTAGTAGAAGATGATTTTAAAAATTCAGTTTCACTTGCCTTTCTTACCAGTAAATCTTGCTGAATTTTCTTCTGCCAGCTATCAATAACTGATAACATTACTGAAAAACGGCACATCAGTCTAGCAATAGAGCCATTCCTAAAATGGGGGAGCTTGGTCCTAGTCCAAGATGAGCAGTGCACTTGCTGACTTGCTTTACGGAAAGTCATTTTCTCTCCCTGAAAATCAGGGTGCTTCCAGACAGAGGAGTTTTGGTGCGACCAATCCAGAGGCACCATGCAGCACTCTCATCCGTCCAGTCCCTTTCCTCACCTTCCTTTTTCTCCCTTAATGGATTTTCTCATGGCAAGAAAAATGATTGAATAGGGTGTGGGAAACAAAGGAGGTCATGAACTGAAGTTGACCCTCAAAATTCTTTGAATTGCATGCAAAAGCCTCATCTATGAGTACCCAACGAGAGCTACCAGTAAAATACTGTGCTGATCATAATTTATTTCAGAGTGAGAATGAATAGGATAAAATGAGAGTGGAATATTGTCCACAAAACCTAATGCCATAATAAATGTGTAAGGTGCAATCATATGTCCTCCCAACATTGCAGGTGGGAGACATTGGATAGGTCTAAAGTTGGAGCTGGGACTTTGACCTTAGAGGGCTCTCCCTCCACCTTTGAAGCCAGCATGGTTCTTTCTACATCAGTTGGGCTCTGATGGCAGTGCAGAGCAGGGTGTTCCAGCAGGTGGAAAAGGGAAAGGAGGAGTGAGGCATTGCTGTTCTCCAAGGAATTATGGAAATGCCTCAGTCTCTCCAGTCCCAAGAAGAGGAAATATTTGTAAGGCCAAAATTGCTGGTATGGATGTTTTGGAAGGCAAGGAGATTGCAGAGGCAATCCTAGCTAGCCTTTGAGCTCCTCTTGCCTTTCAATGGATGCCTGCACTCTTCTCAGTTCGGAGGGTTACAGGCAGCCACATAGGATGATGTCCTGAGTCTTTAAAGTGCCACAAGGCTCTGTTGCCTTTTGTTGCAACAATCTAACATAGTAATTGAAGTAACAATTTCTGGAGGGATTGCTAAGGCTGCAAAGCCAGAAGAGAACAGCCTTTCTTAAACTTTATGCTCTAAGGACTAATTGCATTTCTGCTATCAATCCATAGCTAAAACAAGAAACACATCAAATGACTTTATTTCTTACAATGCTAAAGGATTGGGAAACTGTGCATAACACAGACAAATGCCACTGTGTTTTACATCACAGTAGCCATACAACATCCTATAGAAAGGTGTTGAGAATATTTCATGCATTGGTAACTTTTAAATCAACCCCTTTCCCTAAAATATGCAGCTATTTACCTACAATTTAATTTTCTTCATTAAAAGAAGGCTGAGAAATGTCACTATACACAGGGAGACATGAAAGTGCCATGTATCAAACTTGCATGTGTTCCCAGGCACTTCCATCACTTCTCATGAAATATTTCAAGGAACAGTTTAGAGAAAAGCCATAAATATACATTCTCAGTTCAGATTTAACTTTTCCACCTCCGGTTCAAAACTCCAGCATGAATGATTCAGGACTAGAGGAAAAATTGTGTGCAATCTCGAATTTAGAAGGTTATTCTTGGCATATTATGTATACTTGCAAAAGTCAAATGCCACAATCCAGGACATTGTTAGAAGGCATGTGAAAGTTCCTTTCACATCAGTGGGGCTTAAACAAATATAATTCTATGCTGGGTGGTGGCCAGTAAATCTTACTTCCAAAATAGGTGGCATATTTTAGGAGTGTTTTAAACATATTTTTAACCAATTGAGTCTAATATATTGAAAAATCCTATCTTAAAAAAATAAAACTTCTATAACCCGGTGTTAAGTTAATTTCAAATAGTTGGGTACCATCCAATTCACAACTTGAATAAAAAGAAGTAATTGGATTTCAACTGTTTTCATCCCACAGATAGAAATACAAGTATCCCAACTTTTTATTTGGTTTGCTATTTGTTCTGTTAGAAGTATAAGAAAGTTGTGTAAGAAAAGGAGTATTGAGATCTAATGCTGTCAGACATAGTTCTCTTTACTGGAATAGTTCTTCTCATTTGCAAATGGAAAGGGAATGTTTTAATTGTGCAGTGAAAACTTATCTGCAGAATAAAATACACAGTCATTCCTTATGCCTGACCATCCTGCACATAAACTAGCCATAAGTGGTTTAAAATTCAGTTAGCTCCAATGGGAAGATTAGACACATGCCAAAATTATCTTTCATTAAAATGAATGACACTTTTAATAAGTGCTTAATTTTGTCAGAATCATGTCCACTGTTATCATGGAAAGTCTATGGAACATTAAGAAATAGCCACTGAAGTCACTGAGGCATGCACCTGGACTCTTATGTTTATATAAAGAACTGCAAATCTTTACTGAACTGGGACACGGTATCATAGAAAATATTATGATTTCTTTAAGTAATCCAAAGAAATTATCCATAAACCATTACATGAAGATGAAGCTCTCTCTCAGATTCAAAATACTCCTGCATTTCCTTTGAATTGGATAGGATATCATCCATACAGATGTCCAAAGAAAGCTCCAAGGTGTAACCATCTGGTTTTAGCTGTTATTAGGTGCATTTTCCTCATGTTTACAGTCCTGAATAGATCTCAATCAGAATATCTAATAGTGGATATTAGATAGAATAGTATGTCATGTCAGTCCTATCCATGTTGAGTAGTCCTACTGAAATGAATGGGGCGTGGTCATGGCTAACCTCAGTTCATTTTAAACAATGTGGCATACTACACAAATAAACCCCTTTCACCCGGCTCTTTCTATAGTCTTTTGCTCTGTATTATTTCAGTGCATGTCTCTTTGCATATAGGCATTTGCAAATAGTACTTTCTGGAAAAAATTCAAGCAGGTGCATGCTGGCAGTTAAAAGAAAACCAGTCCAATGTTTGCTACATTAATATAAGTAAGATTCCTTCTCCCTCATTAATTTCTATAATTCTGTGCCAATTTTTTTTTAGCCTGCTTCACTGGGAAGCATCTTTAAGTATCCTTTAAGGATCCTTAAAAGAAAGCCTTACCTGGGTTTCGATCTAACCATATAACTACATTACAGTCAATACTACACATTCTAGCATTTGCTTCATGAAGATATAGCATGCACCTCTATGTTAATATCTATATGTCAGACATAGAGTAGACCTATTGAAGTAGTTAAGGCTTAAATCTCAATGAGTTCACTAGATTTCCTTTATGGATGACTAAGTATGGATGTAACTTATAGTTTTTTATGGGATAAGGATTTCCTATTTACTTAGAAGTCAGCTTTACTGATTTTGATGGAATGTATGCTGTAAGTTTGCGCAGGCTTTCTGGATTAATGACAGCTATTGTTAGTTGCACCATGCCATAGACTTTGCAGTAAGGGTGTTAGAATACAGTAAAATATCCTCTGAAAAAGATAATTTCTTCATTATGCTTAATTGCTCCAGTTTGATTGTTCCTTTGGAAAACGTACTTCAGGATCTGTTAATAATATGCTCTTATTAGGGTCACTTACACTGACATAAAACTTTAGTCCCACTGAAACCTTAAATCTGTTTCTATTTTATTTACACCTTTTGCTGAAAAGCAATTTAGGATCCTTAAAAGCAGTCTGAATATTTTTGTTAATAATTCCAAATTTTTACTGTGTAGGATTATATTAACTGATGTCTACAGAAAATATGTTTAAAACTATTCAGCCTCTTGAATTTAGACGTTTTCAGGAGCTGCTTCTTTACACTTTATGCATTTAGTAAATGAAGTGGAACTTAAAACAATCAAAGCACTAAATCTACTCATATTGCATCAAGTCCTTGCCCTCCATATTGGTGACAAAGACTTAAAATGTTGCAGTTGACTAATAATAAGTGTTTTCATGGCTAAAATGGGTTTTCCTGAAGAAACTGTATAAATCAAAGAACATAAATTAAACAACAAAATGCTTGCCAAACATTTACTTTAGCCAGCCCTTAACCTTAAAATCTCTTTAAAGGATATTCCTAAATCCTGCGTGTTGAAACCCAAATGCTAGTGATTTATAATGAAATAGTAAGCATATGTTTCTGATTAACTTTGCAGATTCGGAAGAGGAAATGAAAGCCTTAGAAGCTGATTTATTGACCAATATGTATACATCAAAGGTAGTACTTTTTTCTCCCTTTCACCTTCTTTTCACAGAAATCATGAATTTCCCTTGCAAACACAGATACTTTAGTATAATCCCTCCCTGCCCAAAAAAGTTGAAAGTTAAACATTTGGCACACAGTATTCATGGCTGTGCAAAAATTGTCTTCCAGTTCAATTAAAAAATAGAAGAAAAGAAGATGAAATTAATGTCTTCTCACCTGTACAGTTGATAGATTCACTGGACATGGTATGGAATTATGGGATGATGTACATTTGTTAGAAAAAAATGTATTTCTAGTCAGAATATGCCTGATGAAAGCAGAGTTAACCTTAAGTCACATAACACCACTGGAACCCTTCCGGAGATGTGAAATTATCCTGCCAAACCAATAAAGAGGAGGAATGGCTGTCTTTAGCCACCTAACAACATACGTTTGATGATCAACAAAATGATTGCTTTCACAGTATGAAATTAGCGAATTTTGGATCATCTGTTATGGAAATATTGTATCCTTCATATTGATATGTAATTATAGGATCCACAGGTGACATATTAAAATGCAGAACACCTGCTTTGCCAGGCAGATAGCCAAAAAAGGACCAGAATCTCTCGCATACGTTACTTTTGGAATGTAAGCAAATATTTAATTCTTGACTGTCAAAAGATTTATTGGGCAGGCTGAAAGTTGGATCCTTGATATACAGCTGTCATAAAATTTTGGCAGGCTTTAATCAATATTAATATTTTCAGGCCAATAACTGACGTTCATAACACCATTTGATATATCTGACCAAAGGTCTATGGAATTGTGTATTCTGAATTCCATAATGGTCTTGATGGAAATAGTATCCCAGTTGTTACATATACTATAAAATACATGTATAATACAATGTCCTGTGCAACTGTAGTGGCTTACAGTACAGTAAAAGTGTTTGGATACTACAAATTATTATTAATAATAATTATAATTATGTTTCTATACTGCCCATAGCCAAAGTTGCCTGAGTAGTATGCAAAAGGTATAAAAAGTATTATTTAGAACGATAAGCTATATTTTCTCCTTGACCAGGCTATACTGCTTAAATGCAGTAGATTAACAGACCAATCCATAAATCACTTAAACTGGAAAATATTATTTAAGCCAAATTTGAAACCATCAACACAAGATAAATTCATGGGGATAAATTCATGGGAATAGCTATACCTTTGTATCTTGGTTTATGATGGAACAAAAAAGAAAAGAAAACTTATTAGACACAGAGAGAGATTTTACACACATCTGCTTATCTGTGCTACTAAAGTACATTTCTTTTATCATGGATCATGTCTGTTATGAAGCCTGAAAAGAGACCACAAAAAGATACTTGCAAGTATCTTCATCCTGTATGAAAGAAGCTTCTATTTCCTTATCTTATTCTAAGGATATATTATAAACTATTTTGAATCTATTTTGGTGGTATTTTTGAACTCATCTGATCATTACCAAGCTGCCATGGGTGATGCATGTTTCTTTTATACATTTTTACACCTTTCTTTTACACCTTCCTGTTTCTATTACACATTTAGCAATTGTTCTGGAATCTCCCAGGCTTCCAGCACTTCTTGATGAGGAGCAGGGAGGGGGGATCCTGTGGAAGGAATTGCCTCAAGAAGGCATCTTTGATTCCTTGCAAGAGGAAGAATGGCAGGATATAAATGCAACATAAAACAACTATAAGAAAAGGACTGCTGATGCAGTGGACCTTCCAGGTGATTTTGTGATTCACCATCCCTCCTGCTCCACTGGCCGACATGAGGAAATCACCCCACTTAACAAGGGAATTGGCCTTGGCTACCTCCACTGACATTTTATTAAGATAATCTCATCTGTCAAAAACTAAACTGTACCAAAATCCTGAAGTTTCCTTTCAACTAAGCCTTGTTTAAGAATATGGAAAAAACCTGCAGAAAGGAAACTCACACTTTGAGTTGTGACTAGAAAAGTTTACCTTGAAGAAGTCTACATTTTAGAAGTACTTACTCAGACATACATAGGTTTCATAAATTTCCTGAAAACACATGAAAGCTTAAAATAAGGATCTGACACCAGGAAAAGCATAGGTTGTAAAAATGCCTATTTAAAAAAAATCATATAGATACAATAAGGACTAATATATTTATTGTGTTACAAGCATTCATTGGCTCTAGTCTTCAAAACTTTATTTTGTGTTTGGTTTGAAAGACTACTTGGCTACCTGTTTGGATTATATTACAAGGAAGTATTTTCTGGCTATGTGTGTGCATCTGTGCATTCCTGTTGGTCCTCTCTCTCTCTCTCTCTCTCTCTCTCTCTCTCTCTCTCTCTCTCTCTGTGTGTGTGTGTGTGTGTGTGTGTGTGTGTGTGTGTGTAGGCTATCCTTTCCTTAAAAGAAATGAGGTCTTGCCCAGCACTGCAGAAAAAAGAAATGAATGTGGAGATCCAAGATAATTGCATAACTTGTTCACATTGCAACCATCAGTGTTTCATCAGATTGCCAGAACTTTTTGATCCCGCATATCTCACAGCCTTTAGGTGATCTGAGCCTCTCACAGCCTTTAAGTGATCTTGGGTTTGTCCCAAACCTTTAAAGCATGTGTAGAATATTTGTATTTCTGGTGGCCCTCCTTAAAAATGCAATGGAATTGTGTTAGCTTTATGATTGACTTGGACTATATTAGAGAATATTCATATCTTGTAAATAGAGATGAAATCCATAAGCACCCTGAGTAAAAACATTCTTTAGCTGTTTAGAGAACAAGCTTTTTTTTTCCTGGAGAGCTTCTAAGTTGAGAGGAAGGTGTTCTTGATTCAATCAGTTGTCAACCACCTGTGCACTTAGAGACCTTCACTCCCACTTAAAGCAAGACTCACAATTCTTAAGGCTTTGATTACTATCTCCAGCCTTTATGTTCTGGTCAGTCTCATCTCCACTGCTTACTTAAACAGTGCTATTGGTACTAAAGGAGGTACAAGAGTCAAGCTTTTCAACATCAAAGCAAAATGATTTACTGCATTCATGAAGGTTTTTGACAACTTCTTCAGATTTAGCATAGCATAATTTGCAACTTTGCAAAAATAAAAAAGACCTGTGTTTGTCTGCAATGAACTTTTATCTAGGAGTTTTCTTTCCTGAATGTTCAGATGATGAATTGTTGGGTCCAAAAGCTGGGCACTTTACAAAACTTTATTTAACTTGCCAATCAAAATAAACCTTTGCATTCATGGTATTGGGCTAGTTTAGCCACTAGCAAATAAGAATGGCAGAAACTCAAGAATTTTGCTTTATAATTGATCATTTTCTCAGAAAATTACAATTTCAGATTAGCATTGATGTAGGCATAATTTTGAAGTCCAGATTAATTACGCCCAGGCTTCAGTCAGGTTGCCAGGATGTGTTTGAACATATCTGGGGCTTTCAGAATCCAGAGAAGTATAGTTCCTTGAAGGACCAGCTGTTGCAGCCTGACTGAGCCCTACATTTTGTGCCCTTGGGGTGGAGAGAAAGAGGGCACAGTTGAGACTTCCCTAATAGAAGGGATGCCCTTATCATGCCTTACATGTAGACTTGAGAGCATACTATTATCGATGCTGGAGCCTAGTTCCCCTCACTGCCTGCATGGATGGAGTTATCATGTAGCATGAAGAGAGATGAAAAGAAGGACCATTCCAGACCTAGGTTGTCTCATACTCATAGAATGACATTTTTCTATTGCCTGAGTGGCTGTTGCTACTGCATTTTCACTTCTGCGGAATGGAGTCATCGGTGAAGAAGGATGTTATCAGCAATTTAGACCACAGCCTGTTTGGGTGTCCCTGTGCCTTTAGTGCATTGATGACATCATCAGCATTGGCCAGAGCCTGTAGACTCTAAAGCAGGCTTGCCCTCTGCAGATGTGTGTTGGTTTACAACTCCCGTAATACTTGTCTGCCATGTTGGAAGGTGTAGCCCAACACATGTAGAGTTGCTAGGTTGAGGCAGACTGCTTTATAATGTGCCATACTCTTTCCCAGGACTAGTTTGGATCCCCCCGACACACACACTCATGCCCAGATCCAATAAAAATAAGATCCAAAAGGCCCCCAAACCACCAAAATAATTCTGGATTTTGACAACACCACCCTTTCCATCTTATTTCAAGTTTAGAAGCTTCTAATATTTGAACAAGCAGATCTAAACTTGTTTAATAATTAGATTTGGCTCTTACTCTTTTAGAAACTTTAGGACTCCTCTTTGCTTCACTATTGCATAATATCGTTGTTGTCATCAGCTGATCATTTGTATGCTGCTTTTCTATGGTTAACTGTGATCAAAGTGGTTTCATATTATCTGATCCTGAAAATAAATGAAGATAAAATAATTCAGAGAACTATTATTCAGCAAACAGCCTGACCACAGCACCTTGTGCTGGTATTCTAGTAAAATTATCAACACATTACAGTGGGCACCATTATGTACTCTGTGCTTTTCGCATCTTTCAGATAAACAAGGCTAAGCTTCCTCAGTGGAAAACGACTCTTCTAAATATCTGTGACCTCATAAGCAATCTGAACAACCAAGAGGAGGAACTAGATGATGATCAAGAAGAACCCATGGCAAGAAAACAATTTGCTGCCACACTGGATGGCTCCACTTTGGAAGCAATGTTGACACTATACCAGCTTCAAAAAGTCTGCCACAGCAGAACTTTTCAGCACTTGGAGGTAAAGCCATATGACAGAGTACCTGGGGATCCTATGTGACTTGGTAGTTGAAAATATTAGCACAGAGCAACATTTTAATTCATACAGTATACAAACTCAGCTATTTCAGTTTGATACCCTATTTGACACTCCCATTATAATATTTAATACGCACTATAATTAGCAATGTACTGAAAATTTTTAGTGCTAATAGGCACTCTGACTAGTATTTAAATTTCTAGAGAATTGGGACTGGATTAAATGTAACCCACCCACCCCTAAGGAGTAGGATAGGGAATTGCATAGTTCAGCCTGTTACAAATGTAGTTACCTATCTTGCTATATCTACACATGTCAACACATGGATCAGGGTGGTTCTGTTACTATTGACTAAAGTCAGGGTCCAATCCTATGTTTGCTTATACAGAAAAAAAAAATCCTACAACTCTGTCTGAATGTACCTACGATTTAATCATTAATCATTTAATTATCCTGAATTCCTTGATTCATTCAGGTTTCATCGAGATAAGCAGCATTATAGATACTTAGGGTTTGGATGCTATCCTCTGACCAAAGTCACTTTAATGAAAATAGTGATTCCATATGCTCTTCTTATCACCAACAGTTTCTTCAGCAAGATGTTTATGACCCAGAAAATTCGAACCAAGATAAAGACCTGATGAAGAGAAAGACTCCTTACATTCTGAAACGGCAAGTACATGTTAACAAAGCCCGACGACCATACATACTGAAGAGGAGTTCATACTACTGACTCAGCAATTAAAGTAGTGTTTGTTTAGTTTGTATGTAGCTGTGCTTATGGTTACCTTATTTCAACCTTAAATCTTATTTGTGTGGAAAATATATTATGGAAAGTGATCATGCTGATAGAAAATTCTTTTTTGCCACTGTTGTTTCTTGATTGTAATTTTTCCTACTTAAAATTAACTGGACTAAAACATTTACAAATAAATCTAGTTTCTAAGCATTATGCATTGTACACCACTGAGACTTTTAAAGTGTTGGCAACATTGCTTACTCTATAGAACACACCCTTCTCAACAAGAAGACAAACATTGTTGCATGAGAGGATGTTTCATAATTCAAGATGTGATGAATTATTAATATGCACTAAGCAAGTAAATGGCAATTCTAAGCCTTTTAACATTCATGTTGTTGCGTTATTCCCAGCATACAGAAGCCCCATTCACAAACTTGGAACACCCAAGATCCATTTTCTCTTCCTTCTGGTTAAACCCAACTCAGAAAATATTGTGCACAATCCAGAGAATATCAGGTACACTTTAAACCCTAGACAAAACTCAAGGATTAACAGCACTAACCCCTGCCTGAGTAACAGATCTGAGTCCTCTCTATTTGGTAGGATTGAATACTAGATGAGTGTCCACAGCACTGCAACCTCAGCGCTACAATTACGGCTGCAGGTCTATAGGATGAAGCCTTCAGCAGATTTTGTTCTGTTCTGTTGTTCTGTTGGTTAGAAAGGTGGAGTACAAATCAAGTCAATAAATAAGCCCTGTGGAAGTCAATGAGATTAATTTCTAAGTAAACATGTATAGGATTGCATTCTAAGTACACAGACAGTTCTTCACTTCCTTGGGATCATATCAGTTATGCATTTGTGTCCTGTGGAACAATTAGCACTCTACAGTCCACTGAAGACAATGGAAATATTTTCAGCTTTCTAAAGAGCAATTATTATGGTCATTATTAGAGCTTGGCTTTAATTCTTAATTATTATTGTTCAGTTGATTCCCTTCTCCTACTGCAACCCCATACAAGTTAGACCCAGCTATTCAAGAGGACCCCCCACAATCCTCTGGAGAAGTTTTGAAGGGGAGGGGAACTCTGGGGTTGCAGGATGAAGGATGTGGAAAAGAAGGGTCAGTTACATTAGTTCTCTTTCACTTATCTAATTGCTGGATACACCCTAAGACCTAATTTGCATGAAATGACAGCACAGAGCAGAGGTTGGGTATGGGTTGCCACTGAAACATGATTTATTATTACATGGTAAACCTGAACTATGGTTAAACTAAGGGTTGTTATCCACAAACAACCCAGGAAGGTAATCCATACTTGATCTCTGGATTGTGTACAGTTAACAATCCAAAATTAAACCATAGTGCAGGATTTGCACATAACAACAACCCAAGCTTTCATGACAACCCCTATTCAACTTGTAAGTGGTTGAATGGTTGTAAAGTTATAAAGTTCATGTTAGTCTGAGTAGTTCATGCAGACATTCAAACAGAAGAACCCAACACAACAGAAATATAGTTATCATGTTCATATCAGTAGTAGTGGAAGTCAACTTGATATTTGTTTTCCAAAAGATTAATAAGAAAGCTAACAACAACAACTATTATTATTATTATTATTATTATTATTATTATTATTATTATTATTATTATAGTCAAGACATATTTGAAAAGGATTTGAAAAAATGAACAACAACATCAGCAGTAGCAACAAATAGTTCCTTAGTTATTTGAATTTTAGAATTAGATCTGCCTAATCTGGGTTACAAATGATTGGACGATGAGTTATTCCCTCATTAGGGTGTAATTCTATGCATGCTTAGATAGAAACAGTCCCATAATTCCTCAGCCAACCATACGGGGATACAGTCCTTTTTCTGTTTGAGCATGCATAGATTGTGCACTTCAAACGGTAAAACTTTCAAATTCCAATGCAGACAAATGTTAGAGTAACCCCTTCCTGATTCATCTTGTAGTAGACTGTTACTAGGAAATGCATACAATAAATACATGATATAGTATCAGATCAACTGACTCTTTGCTATATGATATTTCAGATAGAACTCACCATTTGTGAGTTTGAAGACATTCATAAATCTACCATCTTGACAGTTCAGTCTAGCTTTAAAATTATTGATTCACTCCAGAATTTCATTATATCTTCAGCTCTCATGGCTAAATCAAGGATCTGCCCTCCATAAACGGACGTGTTGCCTTCACAGAAGGTGCCTATACCTGTCCTTCTTTGGGGGGAGTGGGGGGATTTTCCTTTTTTGAACCACAGCTCATCCACTAATAAGGTTCCCAACCTCATTGTAGCAGTTTCACTGGACTTGAGTGGCTGATGGAGAAGTCTGCTTGCAGATGCCTATATCTGGGTCCAGCTATAAATGTAGTCATTAATGCACGGCTGAAGTGCCACATAAAAATTTAGAGATACTAAGAATTATACCATACAAACAAATATATCAAGAAGGCAGATAATTCAGATTGAGAGTAGAAGAGGTTGGAATTGGCCATATTTTTGTGTTTGCACATGGGTCTGCCATCCTGATGCATTTTCAATCAAAGGTCTCACTTTTTTGCATGTCTCCATCTCCAGTAGAAGACAATCTATCAAAAACAACAGGAATAATGAACTAGTAGCTCTTATTTTATTTATTCCAGGAAACTAGAGAGTAAAAATTAGTGTATGGTAATTTACTGATCTGCTAATTTACTAATTGAGTACATGGCAGCATAAGAAGCAGACCTAATTAAGACATAATGAGCACAAGTGTGGTATAACGATTAGTGTGGTGGACTAAGACTTGGGAAACTTGATTTCTAGTTCCCCTGCGTCCATGAAGCTCCCCGGGATGATTTGGGACAGCCACTTACTGTCAGCCTAACCTACTTACCTTGTCGTGAAAATAACATGGAGAAGTGGAGGGCCATATAAGCTATATTGGGTCTCTTGCAAGAGGAGAAAAGGCAGGATATAAATATAATCCCACATAAATAATTGAAAAAGTAGTGCAGCAGGCCTCAGTACACACGAGGTTTCAGGTTCACAGACCAAGTTCAAACAGACCAAAATCAAAACATGGTTTCAAATCCTGGTTTGTATGAACTATCCACAGTTAGAAGGAGCCATCTTTCCCAAGGTCAGATTTAATGGGAAACTAGGGTGAGAGCTTTCATTTGCTTTCAGTATAGTTTCTCATTATTTTTGGACCCAAGCTGGTGTGTTTGATCTTAAAAGATATTTAGATATCAGTGATTCTTTTGAACATTTATTCTTGTAACCTTTGTATTTTAAAATATGTTGCTTGGTTTTTTCATAGTTTGTGGCAGTGTGCAGAGTCTTAATATGTACACTCTAATGAACTATATCCAAACCTCTTGTGGCTACTGCTGCTGCTGCTTCTTTAATAAAATAAAATATGTGCTAAGTATAAAATCCAGTGAATGCTAAAATAGCCACAATATAAAACATGTAAAGCTCTGCACTTAAGCAGTTTAGTGTTTCTCCAGTAGAAACATGCTTGAGAGCATCTCTGACTCATCTTTCTTAAAGTTTTATGAAGACAGAAAATAAGTTTTCAATAGCATTGCTAGTTTGAACTTGGTGCTGCATAATTTTCAGTGGCATCACTAATATAGAACTGTGAGGCATAGTGAAGTAAGACTGTCTTCTCCAGCTTGGTGCCCTTCAGATATGCTTCACTTCAACTCTGATGATTCCCAGCCATAAGCACATGAGAAGAGCCATGCTGGCTCAGACCAAGCATCTCTCTCATCCATTGTTCCATTCACACCATGGCCGAACAGTTGCCCCTGCAAAACACATGGTAGGCTATGCAGGCTGGGAATCATGTGAGCCAAAATCCAACACATCTGGAAACTATCAGGTTGGGGAAACTGAAATGTGGAGTCTGTGACCAGCGATGTGAAAATCTGTCATACTTGTTGGACTTCTTTCCTCCAATTGGTTATGGCCTAGGAAGTGAGTCGAGCTGAGATCAAGTCTGTGAATGCTTAGGAGCATTAATAGGTCTCTTTGTGCTAAATCATTCTGCCACTATGTACTCAAAGCCCATAAGTCTTGCATGTGAAAGCAAAATTCTGCTTGTGCAGTGGGTGTCCAGGCATGTAGTGTGCTATATGTGTGCAACACAGACTTGTTAGTTATACCTATGTAGCAGTTGGACTGGCTTCCTGGAAAATGTCAATACAAATGTTTTACATGGGTCAGGTTTAGGCCACAAACAAAGTGGACTGAAGCCAAGCTGAGAAATCTGATAGATTCCCAGCCCAAAACTGGATTTCTCAGACATCACTACCCGTGACTGAGTTCAGACTACACAGTAACCTACAATCAAGGAAAATGTGTAGGTCAAGTGCAGGTTGTCAGTGAACCACAAGTTAGATGTGCTAAGAAGCTATCAATAACCCATGCAATGAACCCATGGATTATTGCTGGGTTGTGAACTGTGACTTATTTATCATGATTTATTATCTTGGCTGGATTAAGGCAATAGATAAACCATGTTTCAACAACAACTCCAAGTTCAATGGCTACCTACACTCATCCGTTCCTCAACCCCTGAGTTTGAGTTATTGTGCTGTCTGAATCCAGTCTCCATGCAATGTAACTGGAAATGCTTAGGAAATAAGAGTTGCATTCATGTCTTTTCCCCCATAAAAGCAAATTGCTATTTTTGTTATATCATATGATACACTGGGACTAAATTATGGTGAAAGCCTTTCACAAAACCTTCCTCTTCACCTCTTCTGCTTCTGCTGCCACCACCACATGCAAGGCAAAAGAAGAGGAGGCGATATGTCTACTGGGAAAGCTGATGGGGAGTTGCACAGCTCTGGTGTCCCGTTGCATTCACATGGGCCTGCTGTGTCTTTTGATGGATTCATTCCCAAGGAACTAGGCACACTTACGAACGCCTAAGCAAATGAAGCACTGTGTGAAGATATGCCTCTTTGTCGCTGTGTTTCATGTACTGTCTGTCAGTTTCATGAGTGATCCTGAATTCCAGTATTATGAAAGAGC